GCAGATTTTCGACTCAGACCTCAAAGGGGCGTGGCATTATAACCACGTGACATTTACTCCGATCGCCAAAAATTTTATGTTATATTGTAGATTGATCTATATGTTATCCATTCTATGTGTTAGACTTACGATAAAAGTAAAGGTGGGGATACCAGAGAGCTTCAAAGTAGGATGGTACCCCCCCAAAAAAACTGGGTCGAGTCACCTTAAGGAGCATATACTATTGATTTCCTTGGCAAAAGTAGTCTCCTTCGCAGCCGTTATTAGGGTCGTCACGCAACGTTGCGTGACGACCCTAATAACGGCTGCGAAGGAGACTATAGTGGGGAGGAGCGTTGCGTGACGACCCTAATGCGCAAAAGCTAAATCAAGCGCCTTTCTTTAACTAATCAGGGACCCCTAAGCTGTAATTAATTTTTGATCAGCGTCCCTTTGTTTTTTCGAGAATGTACGATAATACATCATAACAAAAAAGAGCATCTCTACGGAGGCATTTTTAATATTACCCACCTTCCTCTTAAAAGTGGCCAGCCTGCAATGGCGTAAGTGAAAATTCACAACAATTCCCACTTTTCTTTTTGGTGAATCATAAGAAATAAATAGTATTATGTAACAGTTCTACCCAAGAGGTTTCATTTGGATGGTAATATCATAGGATTTCGTCCACAGCCAAGGGCGGCTCCAGTTAATTATGATTTAATATGATTTTTATTTTTATTTCATAGGTTGAAAATTGTAAAGCGCTTAGAACAATTTGTATAGGCGCAATAGAAATGTTAGTTATTATTATTATTATTATTATTATTATTATTATTATTATTAATATTATTATTATTAGTTATTCTGTCAGAAACTTTAACTCTTTTATTCCTAATACTGGCCAAGGTGAAGAAATTCTTAAAAATTCCAAATATCGTTTGTAAAATCCTAAGAAATAAAAAGTACCATGCACAAGTTCAGCCAAAGAGGTTTTATTTGAATGGTAATATAACGTCCTAGAATTTCGTTCCACATTGTCACGTCATCCGCGAGATATGACATTTTAATTAGTTACATTCAAGGACTGTTTTTTCTTTCGTGATTGTAGCATTGTTTATTTTATTGCATGATCATCGTACATCCGTTTTTGTGTCTAGTGCGAAGCACAGACACTATGAGAAAACGCTAAAATCCTCTGGTAAGTGCTTCATATATGACAAATTATTACGTCATACGAATAAAATTTCACTGAGGTTTCTCCTACGTGACTCATTACATGAAATATTCTTTACTGGGTACCAGGAGGGTAATATCATCGATAATCACTCGTAATTTCTTCGTGACCCGGAATAAACAACCAATGACAATCGGAACCAATCGAATGTGTATTAGTAGAGACGACAATTGCCCCAACACCATGTGCTTTCCACGACAACTCCCGACAACTACAAGAAAACTCTCTACGACGATTTGCTTTCGTTGCTTTCTTCGACGTGTGTGATACGAGTTGTCCTATCAGTAAGTTACCTTTTAGTTTCCTTCTTTGTGATGAATTTCTTAAGACGTATTTTCTCAGTATGCCACAGCTTTCGAAATATGTGTCAATCCGGCCGAATGAAAGGTTTCGAAAGGTGCTTCAAAGTTGAAGATCAAGGTACCTGGCGCCGACAGAATCTCCATCCGCCATCCAGAATCTCCGACCGCCTGTGAAGAGGATACAAATTAAGCTTTATGAGCTACATTTGGGGAAAGAAAAGCCCGTTATGGGAAATATTGAGTCCCTTTGGGGGATAACAAAGCCCGCGGGGGGATTAAATAAGCCCTGTCAGGGAAATGTAAACGGCAGAAAATCTTTCGCCGCTGAAGGATTTAATGTGAAAATACCTTTCATTAGCCAAACATATACGAAAGCTGTGGCGATTTCCTTCCGACAAAGTCATACTAGAACTCGTAATCTTGTTAAATATCACCCAAGGGTCGTTTTTACTGAATCTTTCCATGCGATGGTTAGCACTGATGAGGAGGTGTGCTCGCCGTGTGAGAGACAATTCGATAGACATTGCAAAGTACAGGAAAAACGTCATAGAGACCGGAGCCGTCAAGATTTATAATACCGATAAAAAAGATTGTGAGCTCCATGAAAAAGAGAAAAACTAGACGCAAGCTGAAGCGCATTTTCAGGAAATTTACTCCTAAATCTTCAAGTTTGTTCAAGTTTAGCGACTGACTATAAGTTATGGTATGTAACATACGTACACAGATGCGACTGTTTTTTTACCGACTTTGCAAATCTTAAAAGATGGGCAGCAAACAAGTTGTTACAAAATAGTAAACAAGCAAGTATGCATTGTTTAGTTAAGCACAAAACAGTGAAATCATGTAGCTGTACCAAAAGATATTGTGTATCGAAAATGAAGCTTTTGATGTCCGGTGATATCGAGTTAAATCCAGGCCCTGAGCAAAATGTCTGTGATCAAACTGCACTGTCGGTAGGTTCCACCTTATTGTTAAACTATCGATTAGGTCAGCTGGGATTGAGACCTCTTGATAACTTTTTGTATTTCTCATTTACAACTAGTTTCCTTGAAATAAAGTTGTGTTCAATTCATTTCATCGTTACCACTGTGATGTTAAAAATAACAAATTCATAATAGTTAGCACTACTTCCAGAAAAATGTCTGCAATAATTTCAACCACACCCCAAAGCAGACCAACCTCTACTCCTCCTTACTTTTCTGAATCACCTTCAACACATTTGTTAGTTCTAGCCATATTTCTTTGCTAGACTGTTGGAGCTTCAGATTATACCTCAGCCTCCACTCCTGTACTCTATGGCGGATAAATCCTAATTGCATTCACGAAGTCTAACGCAATCCTATATAACCATATACACATTACGCAATTACCCAGCACTAGACACATGTACGCAATGCGGACCTATTTTTTGGCTAGGCGTACAAAGCTTTATTCAGTTTTATTTCCTTTACGTCAGAAGGCATTAGATTATAGTTTCCTTATAGTTTCCTATAGTTAGATTATAGTTTCCTAAGCACGTTCATTCAGTTGTAAGAAGTCCGTCACAGTGTAAGGAGCTTTTGGAGAACTTTCGGAGTTCTTACAACTGTAGGAGATTTGGAGTTCTTTTAACCCCCGGAGTCAAGATCAGACGTAAGTCATGCTTGTAAATTCAGTAGTTTGTTTTTCCTTCTTTTTTCGTGCACGGAGCATTATCGTAGTTTTCTTTTCTTCTGACGTAAAAATCGCACGTTTCTTTCTAGTTTTCACCGCAAGTGCTGTAAATAGTCGGACTAGCCTGATTTTAATAAACGCCATTGAATCTTGCTGACCGCCTAGTGCTTCACTGTGGTTGACCTGGCGAACTCCAGTGCCTAACGCCACGCGTCTACGACACTGGGAACGCGACACACATGTTAAAAAAGTTAGAAGGTTCTCAGTGGGATTGTGGGACGTTTAACTTTTTTTTGGCCTTTGTACAGCTGACGGTTGATTTCTCTTCGTTAGATAAAGCATCTGTAGGAAAGCCTGTCCGGGATAGAAAAACTGAGTTCAAAAAAGAGGCTGAAAAAAAGTCCATCAGCCATGCCGCACGAGACAAGACACGTGACAAGATCATATTGCGATCTAGACACTCTCTTAAAACCAAATTGCGGCCACAAATTTTTCTTACCTTTAACTTTTCTCACTACTAAAGGTAAAAAATTTCCACCTTTTTTTGTTTTTACGCCTAACGAATAAATTTTCGGCCATTCTACAGCTAACGGTTAACATTTTTGAGACCCTCTCAGAAAAATGGATCAATTTATCAAAGCTCGTTTAGGATTGTGATTTATTTCATTTTAATTTCATAAGGCTGCGTGTTTTTAATTTTACCTAATAAAACGTTATTAAAATATAAATTATAAAGAGTCATTAAACAATTGGCCAGCCGAAGCAAAAACGTACCGCTACTTTTCATTATCTGTCTACCCTAATCTTGAGAAATAACAAAGAAACAAGTTGCGCGTTTTTTGCGCGGGGGTACTTCCCTATATAAGCCATATAGGATATGTGCCGTCCTAAAAGGTAGGGTTTTTGCGCTTTTCTGGTCTGAAAACGGGTATAAACTTGGCTAATTTTCGTCTGGAATCGGGCATTGATTTTAAGGGAACTACGGAAGTGTACGAACGTATTTATTGTTTCAACTCCAAATGAGTAAGAAAGAAAGAGAAATATGCGAATTCGAAATGGATTTTGAAAAATATTTTTTTCTTGTTGCTGTTCTAATCTAAGTAATGATGACATAATTTCTTAAACGCCAGGTCTGAAAAAGTCTGAAAAGGGGTATGGATTTTAGAGGCCGGGTCTCAAAACGGATGTGAAAAATGACATTTTTTGGTCTGAAATAGAGACAGGATTTGGAGAACCTGGCGGCACACCCTCACCAAGAATTCCTGGAAGTACCTCCCTCCCGGGGTTTTTGTCGCTCGTTTTACCGTACCTTAAGACCCGAAAAATCACGTGACTTAAAAACAATCGATTTTAATGGATCTTTCAAATGTGCCAAGCACTATTATGTTTACGGTAATCTACAATGCTATTTACCGCCTACTGCAGTTTTTAATGCGAAGATATGCCATAGAACACCAAATCGGTCTATTTTTGAAGAAGCAATGTGTTTCCTGTTCGCGTCAGCGCTTTGCCTTAAATCCCTTGAAATCCGTCACAGAAGAACTAATTGATTAAAACAGATACAAATCGTTTGTCAGGAGACCTCACCTGGTATGGGCTCTGAATTCAGACAACAAAAGCCTGAGTCAGTGTACAGCATTCTTTCCATTCGTCCAATATTAGAACTAACAAACTTGTGTAATTATTTCTCGATGGGAATGTTGGGTTCAATGTAGCAAAAACTGGGCAGTCGGTATCTTCAACAGCTTTCAACCCAAACTACTCAGACCACTGACTGATCGATCAGGATATGACTCATGTTCTTCATATCAGTTTCAACCCGGGAAATCCGCCAGTCGGACTGGAGTATAACTATAAACAAAGGGTCATTAAAATGTTTTATAAAAAACTATTTCACACGTACCGAGCGTAAAGCACGCATATTTCTCACGAAGCCTCAAGATCTTCGTCAAAGACTTGCAAACAAACCAACTAAAGAAATCAATGACATTTTTTTCTGTCAGTTGATCAGGTGTATGTAAAGACAGCAGCCATAATCGTGATAAAGATCTGGACGTCATTTCGGATAATTATCAATCACTGTATCTTACTGGAGAATTTACACCCATGATTGAGTGACCTGTTTTTAATTTCATGCTTGACAAGTCACGTCATAATTTTCTTCCGTTGTTTTCAGTTGTTGTTTTTAGACAGCGAAAAATTTCATCTGTTTGCGAGAGGATCTGAAACATGCTGCCCTCCCCACTGAGGTATATTCTGAAGAAATTTGCCCTCTAAGATGGAGTTCCCTATCGTTAACGCTACGATCAAACTGTCGCCGATAAAGAAAGAGAAAACAAAGAAGACAGGGAGCAGATTTGTTGTAAAAGAAGTAAAATCCGCTGATCAACCAAAGAATCCGGTGAAAGCTTGCTCGAAGGTAGTCGAAGTAAGTGTCCCTCGAGAGGCGCTAAAAAACAGAACCAGGCCGCATTATGAACAACAATGTGACGGTTCGTCAAGTGTTCCTCTGATAGAAGTCAATATCAACAAAGTTGGTTTTCAGGTAAGACGCGGTATGTTTAAAATACGTAATTCGAAGTTTTCCAATCAATGCTTGTAATTTTCCCGGGGGGGTATTTGGGTTAATTTTTGCTAGGTATGTGCCACTGGCCTCTCAGAGCCCTTACCCCATTATAGTCCATTCTGTGGCCACTTATAGACCCCATCATATTCACTTTCGGGCAAATATGTAATTTTCGCCATTCCAACTTAGCCACTCAATGAGGAACGCTTTAATTACTTTTCATACTTTTCATCTACAGTACAAAAAGTTTGGTACGTTTGCTAACCGTAAATATGAAGAACTGTCTTACCCCTAAAAATCCGAAAATGTGCAAACCCATTCTAGTGACTCTATTGAAAATGCAACCCCATTATGGTCAATCCAATCGTGATCATGCCACCCCATCCAGCGGCACATCCCCATTAGCCTCTTGTAAGAAATTACCCACCCCCCAGGCAACCCCAGGGTAACTTTATAAACAAGGTTTATAGAGGTCACGTAATACAGTCAGCTGTACTGTCAGATTGCTCAGTGTGGGTGACGATTCCGATGAAGACTAAAGACTGATCAAGACATAAAAGAAGAATACGTGATCATCTTTATAAATGTTTTTAAAGTGTCTAAAAACAAACAGTTATTCTCTTCATCTCCGACAGACATCTAAATAAGAGTTAGAGATCTAAATAAATGCCAGCGACGTTGTGTTCTGTTTTAAAAGCTAGATTTCTCTGAAATCAAGACATTTTTTGTAAATTTCTTTATGCACAGCCCTAAGCGATACCTGAATGGGCGAATATAGTGACTTTCCGTTCCAAAGACCCTAACCTAACGTCAATTTCCGGAAAATATCTGTTCGGAAGACGATTTGAGATCTAGAATTTTCGGAACATTTGTTCTAAAATTTCTTGCCTGCTTGCCTCTCCTAAGATTTTCGAACATCTAAAAAATGGTGTAATTGCCCATTTTTAACAGATTTTTACCCTAAAAAGGTCAGCTAGAATTTTCGGGAACCTTTTTTCTGGCGGAAATTTTCGAAGAGGTAAATTTTGATCCCTATAATTTTCGGATTACTCGAATTTCAGCTAGGAAATCCTAACAGGCGAAAAATTTTTAGGGGACACAAAAATGCCTATATCTACCGTTTAAATACTAAAATACATTCACAATGTTATGTTTAAGTGTTTTGAACTATATTCTCGTTGGGTGCCCCTCAACTGAGACCAAAATGCAATTTACACCCCTAAGCGGGACAACGAGCATCCCCGTCACTTTTATATGGGAGTCCCCCCGGGCCTTTTTGAAGCGTCGACTATGATTTGAATATTTTACGAAGACAGGAGAGCTTTCAGCGTGTCAGTAGGGTCAATCGTGAAAAGACATGTTGACGGAGCTCAAAAACAAACTGCAAGACTGAAGCGTTGAAAAACCTTTGCTGTTTAGCTCGTACTTGTGACAAATTTTACAGAGGGATTTTCTTTTTCATCTTCCACGGTGCGCTACTTTAAACTACGATAACATAAAACGTAGCCCGCGTCGCAAGCAAAGAAAGACCGAGCAACGGGATTCTCAGCTTTGGCCGCGCGAGAAATGAAACGAGCGCCATTTTTTGACTCTCGTTCCCCGTTCTTTGCTCCTAAACCGCACGGAAACCCCGCTTGCTACGCTGGCTGCATAAAATGTTATTTGGTTCTTTTGGGGTAAAAATTAGGACGTAAAGGCAATTAAGGGAACAAACCTTTAACACCTCTTTGTTGTTTTAATCGAAAACAAAACAAAAGTCAAATAGCTCAGTTTTACGCAGTGATGAACAAACTAATTACCCTGAGGCTTGTGATGTATTGATTACAAATAATCATTAGCACTGAGCTTTTATCTCTAAAAACTGCCGTACATTGACACTTTAAATCTGGAGTCCTGCTATTCTAGGATCCTGGATAGCCTGCCCTTTGAGCAAGCTCACTTGTGGACTTCGAGGAAAATTTCGGCGGCGAAGCCGTTAGCGCGTGAGGAAAAGTGCGCTGTGGGCTCCGCCGCCTAATTTCTCCCCAAACTGGCGTAAAAGTGAGCTTGGTCACAGGAGGTCACAGGCTATTGTAGATCCTTCATAACTCATGGGAACATGTGAGCGTGACCGGTCATAATGAAGTGTCCACTACGGGCTAGCTGGCAAAGTTATCTCATAAAAAGATCACACCAGCGCGGATCAGCTAGGCGGTCCTTTTCCCCTTTCAACCTTTTGTTCTCTTTTTACCTACCCGCTAACTTGCCAGCTCGCAAAAAAGGAATGCAAATGCCTGATCGCAGGTTAAAAGGATCTTATCCTGAGAAGGCAGAAGCCTTATTTAAGTACATGCCATCATAGGACTCGATTTTCTGGGCCACTTTCACAGGACCACAGTGTCACCTAACTTCCTTTAAACTGCAGTAGGGTCCAGTAGGATTAGAGTTAGCGGCCTCAGTCGGGAGAGCGCTTGACTGCTGCAGAGCGGTACATGATATATATGTCGTGGGTTCGCGGATCCCCTGGGCCTAATCAATACTCCAAGTCTTAAAATAACTGAGAAATGAAGAGACTGCTTTTGCCCTGCCAACGGCTTGTGTGGCTCGGATGACCACGTAAAATGGAGGTCCTGTCTCTAATAGAGAACGTAAAAATAGTGTCTTTAATTAGTAACTTTCGTCCCAAAAACATTGACACTCAAATAAAGCACGTTTTTTCTCATCATTGCCTACATCCTCGAAATTATTCCATTTAAACGGATTTGGCTGGTGTCCGTATGATTCTGATGTCGACAAGGCAAGAGTTGGCCTGTATAGTCAGTACACACAGGGATATAATAACAGATTCCAAGGGGTATAATTTGCATTGCATGTTGCTATAGTTGTGGACCCATAATTAACAATTTTGGACAGCATGATATAATGGCTTATATTCGAATCATATACATGATGGCTAAACCATTTCGAAAACTCGACTGAGTGAGCTTATTCAGAGGGGATCAAGTGATCAGATTTATGGGCTGGGACGCTCTGTTTATTACGCCTTTTGATAATGATAGAAGCTAAAGTTTCGAGTCAAGTCAAATCGCTTATTTTCTTCAAACACAGGAATCTGCTATACCATTAAATGTTATTTCTTAAGTATTGGAGGTTACAGTTCAGAATGATTATTAATCGAGTAAGACCATAAAAGAAGATTCAAAAATTATTACTGTATTTCATTGTAACTCACCAATACAGAACTTGATTTTACTTCACGGACAGATTAATATAAATTTACGACTTTGCAAATTATGAAAAGACCATCCGTGTGACCGTGTCTCCATCAGGTGGTGCCTCTCTTCTTAGGGCGTGTTCGATTGACTGTATTCCGCAATACGAATAAATGGAATAAACTCTAGAAATCAATTGCTTTTTGGTGTTCATTCTCTGATTGCAATATCTAGAAATCTACTAGAATTAAAGTAATCCGATGTATGTAGCGTATTCTAAAAACCACGGTAAAAGAGATTTGTATTAAAACTTTTGCGTATTTCTCATTCTGGAATACGATCAATCGAAAAGACTGAAGCGATGACTTACGATGACCGTTTTGATTCAAAGGCTCACTACGAGGGCCTGCAAATCAGCAATTATTAGTAAGGCTGAGTATAATCTGAAGAATTTTGAAGATTATACTGAAGCCGAATCCAAAGACTTTATTATTTTTTATTCATAGCCATTCATACTTTACACTGCAAAACAGTCGGGATTTTTGCTTAAAATCGGTTTAGCGTAGCTTAAAGAGTCTCACACGCGCGAAGCGCGCAAGCCTCACGCCCCAATCTCGCTCTCAGTTCTCAGCCTCGCTCCAGACCTTTTGATTGACTGCTCGCGCGTACTTGAATACAGAAAAAAACCGTACTGTTTTTTATTCATACTTAAAAAAACAAGGTAAAAGATATTTACCTCGATCGATGGTTAAGTTTTCGCAAGTTGCCTTTCTGCAGGGATATAAAGGGATGATTTCGTTCGTTTTTTTTTTGCAGATGTCCTGCACATTATTTTACTGGATATCGGAAACGTCTCCCAAATTTGTCAGCGCTAGCTGGTTATGAAGAAATAGCCTGGGGGTTCGAGCCAATCAGAAATGATTTTGTTAAAAATCGTTCCACAGGTGATGATTCATAAGTAATGGCTGGGGAGGCTAGGTGGGGGACAAAATCGGTTTTCACCCGCTTGTATAACCCCCATCGTGAAATCATGATAAAATGAAACACTTTTTATAGTATTTCACTTCGTCGTTCTCTCCACATGTCCCCAGGCTCTCTGAAAGTTTTTATGTTTTCAATGTAATACCCTTCGTAAATATGTCATCCACCTTATATTGTGTCTATTCGTAGATGATTTTGACAGCCAATATGATAAAAACGTTGACGCACAGGTGATATATATTTCGAAATAGTACAATCAGGAAAAAGAAAGTGTAATATGTTTGAATGCAAAACGAGATTTCCTGTTGTCAAAATGATCAGCTTTTGATTCGATGAGATAAAACCTTCTCCAAGATAAACAAAGAGGCTTGCCTGCGCCTAGCTTCTTATCGATCCATGGATAACAATTTTATAAGCGTCACAGCCTTGCCTTCATATCCAGGAAATATCAAGCTAGTTACGTACATTTCTCAGTGAAATCAAAGCACTCGGAATCCGGAAAGGCAGACAAATTGGACGCATTCTGATTGGCTGCAAATGACTGAGTTAGTTCCCAGTACTTTCCGCGCCATATGTGGGAGGGGGGATTGAAAATACTCGCGCCCTGGCGATGAAACCTTCCCCTAAATATCTTTGCGATTGACCAGCGAAACTCTGAGCATTTGAGTTACGCATGTTTTCAGTGGTGGAATTTTTTGCGGCGTTTTATAGAATAAGAACTCTGAGACAACTGGAGGAGAATTTGGCTGCTAGATAAGTTAACAAAGCAGTATGTCGGACGAAGAACGGCCACCGGCCCCTCCTTTACGTGTAACTTCCACGAAAGATTCTTCGCCTGCATCGAAACCTTTGCCAAGCGCTCCTGTTGATGAGAAGAAGAAGAAAGCATCCACATTTAAATTCTTTCAGAACAAAGGCGACGAGAAATGTATGTAGCTTGATTTTAAAAATGCTAAATGTGCTCAGAGACGAGAAAGAATCTATTTCTGTTATGGCGTCAATTCGCTAATGTGATAAAAAACAATTATGTTCTACTGTAGATTCGAAGAAAAAGCCTGAAATCTCTTACCCAACACAGTTCGAACACACAATCCATGTGGGCTTTGATCCCGTTACCTCAGAATTCACGGTAAGTAATAAGATTGGCTCGTTTAAACATACTTTCACTTTTTATCGAAGTGCTCGCTTGAGGTTATGAAACGAAAATCGATCTGTCAGCTGTCTTCGATTCGTGTTTGGATCGATTGATTCGAAGCGGTGTCGCTTATTTTCAGACATCACGAACGCACATAACTTATAACCAAGCCTTGATTGAATCTAGGTTGTTTTAATTTCTGCTGTAAATTTCTATCTGCTCGCAAAATTACGTGGTATACCGGCGGAGCAGAGTGAAACTTTACATGTACAGCGATTTTGAAGTGCGATCTATTTCTTCCTGGTTGCAACGCTCTTGATCAAATTCTTCAACACTTTTCTTGAAGGTATATTTATTTAAGCTTACGTTTATACATGTATATATTTTCCTAGAAAGTCCTCGCCCGTGTGTTGTGCATTTAAAATACCCTTACTGAGTTTATTGTCTGAATTTCCTTGACGTTCTTACTTCTGTATGAGCCGGTTCATAGTAGGTGGTCATGCTAAACTTCTTAGACTTGAATAAGTATTTGAATTCATTGATCAAATCATCCATAGGTTATAAATGCAGATGTTTGCGTCCTCTTCAAAGTTTCCAAACAAAACTCTTGGGCCATCAAAAGGATCACAAGCGTAGTTACATAGTGGGGTGAAAATGAAATGCATATTAGAAGAGCGCCGCTGGCTATATGGTGTTCTGTTCAGTAAAGTCAAATTTTCCTAGTTATTTCAATATCAGGGCATGAATACTTCAACCACATGACGCGGTAGCGAAATCAGATCCCTCTTTATTTTTGCCCTTTTAAAGTTTATGTAACTCGTTTCAAATTGGGAAAAGCTTTTATCTTTTCGAGCCGGTTTTCATCCAAAATTCCGAAGTTGTCATTAGAACAGGTGCAGAAAATGGAATTTGAAGCAATGTTTGTATTTAAAGAGATTTTCTTCTCATCCTTAGAGATGCAACGATTAAGCTCCACGGTAGATTAAGCTGTGTTGTCTGTTGAGAATTTATGCCACTTTAAATGATTTTTTCTCTTCCTTTTAAGGCTACATTTTACAAATTATAGATTGTGAATTCACTTCATTGGGCAGGTGGAAAGTTGCTGTCACTTTCATGAGTCAAAATTACAGTCTCATTCGTCCATTATTATCTAAGCTATAAATTGAATTCTATCCCTTATGTCACTAATTAAAGTAACACACTATTGTTTTATTCCTGACATCTTCTCAAATGTTTTGAAGCTTTGACACAATGTGCCTGTTGCTGTTAAAAATCATGAAATCATGAATCATGATGCAGTAGCTAAGAGCTTGTGGTCTTGTGATTCCTAGTAATAAGTTAGTTTTTATGTGTGGAAAAACGAGTGGATTCTCATTGCTGGTACAATAGGTCTGTTTTTCATACTTGGTGCTTGATATGGCTCAATCATTTTGATTAAATGTAACTTTGCTCTTCATGTGATTGTTTAAAGAACGAATTGCGCTCATTTTGGTAGGTTTAAGGTTTTGGCATTTTTGTTCTGTTATCCGTGAAATATCTCTTTTTTCAGAAGGTTTATTTAGAATATTATAATTTTGTAAAATATTTTGTGTAATAAATTATAATAACATGAGGCTTTATAACCCAATATTTCTCACCTTTTGACATAGCTTCTAGTTTTCATGGTAATGTCTGTTCTTATACAGAGTTGTCAAACATTATTATTTATTCATTGCATTTTTATCGTATTTTATGCGCTTTTGGGACATAACATATGCAGCATGAGCAAATTTTTATGCATGGGTCACCACAAACCACAATTTTTTTATTACTGCAATAAGTATTTGCAGTGTAAGGGTGCTAATAATTATTTTTTGAAAAATGGCAGCCAATTTTTATTTATAACTCTTTGGTCAGCATGTTAATTCATCCCTGCTGGCTGCATAATCATAAATGAGGCCAAAAATGGCTATTAACATGCATGATACCATGAGCAGGAACATTTTGAGATAATGCCTGCAAGCAATTGCATTATACGGTATTTGTACATGTAGCACGGCATTATTCCTTGTTCTTTAATTTAGTCGAAGAAGTATTAGAAATTTCTTGTCTTAACAGCTCTGAGTTTTGGTCCCTTCAACCAGGTCAGCAGTTAGCAATTTCTTTCTCCTTTTCTTGATCTTCCCTATATTGATCTCAGTTTCTCAGTTTCACTTGTCCATAAACATTTTTTGTTTTAATGTCCAGTATTTTGCCTTTTCTTGGTCTTAACCAACCTTGTTTTTGTTCAGGTTATCACAACGAAGTTTTTTAAGTGCACACTGTACTATAAAATGTATAGCAGATGGTTTTTAGAGGCTGTCACTCATGAGCTAAGCGTGGCTTGTAAATAGACAGCTGCCATTACACACAGTCATGTACATGAGTATCTTTTTGGATGTTTGACAGGTAAAACAGTATGCCCTGTGGGACAGAATATCCCCCTTAAGTACTTGTTTTTAAAAAAGGGCATGTCATGTGATCCTTGTCATTAATTGGTGATTGTGCCATTCCCAACAGCAGAAACCTGCTATTCATGGCCATTATTACTTGTACTAACAAATAAGTGTAGTGTCTCTCAATCAGAAGCTGGCTGATGTTTATTTTTAACACTTACCGTGCTATATATTGTACTTTGTTGACTAATGACATCACTGTTGACAGGGGATGCCTGAAGCGTGGGCACGACTTCTTCATACGTCAAATATCACCCAAGCTGAACAGAAGAAAAACCCTCAGGTAAGATCAGTCCTTTCAACTCATTTCCTTACCAAGTGAACGTTCGTAAAAGTTTTCACAATTCTGTCAGCTGTACATGTATATATCCAGGTGAAAGAATAAACATTTCACTGAACAGATCCACTTAGTGTAAAGCAGTGTGGAGAAGCCCTCTGATAATTACCATGGTAAGGATAATACTATGGAAGTGGCCTTCACTGGAAATGTAAATCTCGTTCGATGGTTCAGTCTTTATCCTTGATCTTGATTCAAGTTATGTATAGTCATCTCAAGTTGTTGAGTAAAGGTTTGCAGTAGGAGTTTAGAATTATTTTAAGAGTGGACTGAAGGATTGGGAAAAGCAGAATTTTGAATGGAAGAACTCAACTGCTTCCTGAGAATAAAGGCAATATATTGCAGTGTTTCATGCCTTGGGCTCTACTCTCTAACACCTCGATTTCAATTTTATATGAAAACTAGCATCTATTGCCCTGTCCACTACTGTGCATAGGGATGATACAGTACCGTTCAAAAGTAAGTTGACAGTCTGTTGTGAGTCTCAATTCTTGATTCCTGTGCGAATTGAGAATTGTGAATCGAGAACAAGTTATCGAGAAACCAGTTGAGGATTGAGTCTCGCAGAGGCCGTTCTGGTTTGCTGAGTTTCGCAGGAACGAATTATCAAGAATCGAGATGCAACAATCAAGGAATCGAGTCTCGATTCTCACGAGGATCGAGAATCGAGTGTTGCCTTACTTTTGAAGGGTACTGTAATAATAATTTTTGACTTTTACAATGTAAATCAAACCTTTGCTTTAACAACATTTAAGCATTTTGATCTGTTGAGGTGCAAGTTTATACTGAATGAAGGAAGATCGTGTCATTGGGAATGGTATCCTGAAAATGTTTAATTGACTTCTGATAAACCTGTGGAATCTCCCTTCCATAACACTGTTACTGGTGCAGTTTTTTTGTATTTTTTTCGGTACTAATATGCTTTAAATAATTCCTTTTCTTCAGGCTGTTCTTGATGTGTTAAATTTCTATGAAGGAAATATTAATAAAGAGGAAACAACCTCTAAGTTTATGACAGTGTCAAAGCCTTATGGTAAGTGAAATTACAGTGTAATATGTTTTTATTTTATATATTATTTGCAGACCTCACCTTTGTAGATGTACCATACACTTTCAAGAACAACCAAGGGTACAATAATAATATGGCAAAATCGTAATTTGGATTGTCAATATTCAAATTTAGGTGAACTGGTAATCAAAAATCCATTTTGTTCTGGATTTCAGAATCCCAGTCCAGGTTTCCAACCACAGCCCCAAGAAAATAGCAAAACAAGATCCATTGTTTCATTGTTTCTTGTTCAAACACACTAAAGCCACTGCTTTATGCAAACTGCTTTTATACAAAATGTACATGTACAGCTGGTACATGTATCCAGGGTGAATCTTTCATCAGAGACATCACAAATGGATCATGTTGAGCTACTTGTTTACATAAATGTATTTTTCCCCCGGTCAGTAACTTATTAAAATCTGCTCTGCTCGTACATTTGTAAGTTTTTATTGTGTGTAGTGTAAAAAGTGCAACCTTGTCAATATCAAACAAAATAATTATATGTGGGCATTTAGGTTTCTTCAATTTTTTTCAATCTCTTTAAATAATTGTATGTGGTTTTAAACTTTTTGGCTTTGTGCTTGCATGTACAGCTTTAAATCTAACTTTCTAAAAGTTTAATCTAAAATTAACATTCTTATCATAAAACATTTAAAAGGATTGAAATATTTTTTGTACTATTAAGCTGTGCAGTAATAGTGTTTGGTTGGATACTTCGTACATAAAGTAATATTACTGAAGAAAATTTCCTTTTTAGGAGTGAAGTAGTAGACTATGACTCGGATAGAATGCAGTGAGGTGAGGCAGTCGCAGGTCATCGGGTGTCATAAGTAGACGGAGAGAAGATGCCACTGAACTAAAAATAACTTGTTCACCATTTAGTTGTACTTCTCCTAAGAACAAACAATCTTCTAAAAGCCTGAAAGTATTAATTACGGGTAAACGGAATTCAAAGAAGCGCAGGAAATCTTTACCCGCTAGTGGTACAACAAGCAATGAAAGAAGGAAAGCGTATAAAGATGAGCGCAAGTCATCTCCTTCGCCAACACGTGCTCTTCTTACGTCTCAATCGGACACTTCAAGTTCACTAACTGGGTCATCACCAGGGTCATTAACTGATGAACTTGAGAAATTGATTGTGAGCTCAGAACTATCACCCACTAATAAATACTTACAACACATCTCTTCTGATTTTCAAGGTATTTCCGTCAAGTTCTAACTTTACTACTCTGAATGATTCTCTTAAAGTTCTATAAAATGATGAAGTTTCTCGTAACAGTGATTCATCTTTATTAAAACCTTTAAATATCTAACGCGTTTAGTCAGTTCTAATCAGTTTTAGCGTTGAATATCGATCATCAAGATTGTACTAAACTTTCTCATAGTTGTGCGTACAGGTTAATCAAGAAGGCAGATGTTGTGGGCTACTGGATTCTTTCTTCAACAACGTTGTTTCCTTGCACCTGGCAACTAATAAGCACCCACAATGCAAACCTTTTTTTTGTCTAAAATGCATGCTTGTTATACCTCTTAGTATTCAAAATACTGTGAAGAATTCTTAGTCAGCATCTGACTTCTTTTTGAATCTGTAACATCGTGAACCAAAAATAAAATAAATTGAACAGAAATAAAACATAATTTACAGCACCACTTTCCACTAACTTACAATGACAAATGTGTTGTGATGAATGTGCATTGCATAGAACATTGTAATGTTAGGCCCAGTTCAGATGTCAGATGTCATAAGTGCAACAGTTTTGGTCACCCACACAGTTAACAATCATTACATGACAAAGGTCGCAGCATGTAGCGTATGCATCTTACATTTGCATACTAAAGTTTTTCTGCATATTTTTTCTTATCTCATTACCCTTCTTTGTAAGAAGAGAGATCAGTCTTAACACAAACCAGTATGTTAATTCCCAGAACTGCTTCTTGCAATGCGCAAACCTCTTTAATGTAGATACAGTTTTGCCTTAAAAAAGTTATGTGGAAAACATATGAAGCCATTTCCCTTTCAAATGTCCTCTTGGATTGTTTGATTTAGCAAGTGAGACCTGGAGTCACTCAAGGCATTTAATCAAATACACAATAACACCTATATCTTTTGTTCTAAGAATTGAATTTATTATTCAGGATGGTAGGGGCAGGTGGGGAGGGAGGGGAGGGGGTTAAAGATATTGATGAGGATGGGGGAGGGGGTGGTAATGAAAACTTACATACATGTAATGGACCATAATCCACCTTCCACACTTCTTCATAGCTATGAAACACTGAACTCCTTGCAGTGTTTTGCATGGGTAAAATACGCATACAGTGTACAGTGTACAGTGTACATGTATGTGTTTGGGTTCAGTTTTATCGTTATGATTTAAAATGTTGTTTCTCTCTCTTTTTTTTTTTTGTACAGTAAGCTACGCAATGAGTTTGAAACAAAAAATTAAACCAAAGGTGAAATTGAACCACAGCTCATGTGTTCGTGAAGTCATCAAAATTTTGTCCCATAACAGGAAATTTAAACAACCTGTAAAATATTATTCATGCTTGTTAATTTATGTTATTTTCTTTTTGTTGTCATCTTTTGTGAAGTCTAAGTGGCCTGCAAAAGTATGCGTGGTGATACATTTGTAGTGTGGTAGATGTAAAGTTTGTTTTGTGTATCATGCAGGTCAAACACAGCCATCGCGTCCTGGAGTTGGAGATCACACGTATGCACCACCTCTTCCGCCACACGCCACGCCTACACATGTAAGACAGTAAATGAAGTTAACAGGGGGTAGTTTATTAGACCATTATTATGAATACAAATATGTTACATTTAACATGGATATAAACAGTTGACATGTTACAAGTCAAAATCATATTCAGGTTAAATTTTTTTTATCCTAGGTTGATTATCTATTTCCTTTGTCTCCTAGCCCTCATTATTCGTGAATTGAGGTTAGGAGACAAAGGCAATTGAGAATCAACCTAGGTGAAAAAATTTTGAGCTTGGGTACCTAACCTAAGGGCGTGTACTCTTACTTAAACAATTCCATAACCATTCCAATCCCCTCCTTCTGATTGGCACTGGTTAGTTAGAGTAGGTGCATGCATGTTTTTTTTTTCAAAGAGTTAGAAAATGTTGGTGGTGCAGAGCCACCTTAAGTCTTCATATCCTCATTTTGGGGATTTACAGTAGAGATGCTGAGTACAGCATTACATTCTTTCTTATTCATGTGATCCATACTGAAGGGAAAAAATGGTAGCAAAAATGTTCCAGAGATGCTGCCAATGATATTGTCTGTAGAAGGTGGTCATACAGTCATGGTGTTCATTAGGCATCCAAATCAGAGAATTCCCCATTTACTACACAGAATTCTCCACCCAATGTGTGATAGCCTATGACAATTTTTTGTTTAGATTTAGATATGGAGCCTCTTTCACCTTATTCTCCTGTAATGTTACACCTTTCTTCTGGTACTAGAATTCTTAATGAAAACCCTGACAGAATTTTTTGGTTTTCATGTAATATGTTTGACAGACTTTGGCAGCAGAAAATCACAGTGAACAAGTGAATGAATCTGAAGCGGATGTACCACCAGCCATTCCTTCAAGGCCTGAACACACTAAATCCAAGGTATTTTCTGCAGTAACTGCTTCACTGGTCCTTTTGTGTTTGTGGGCAATACTTCTTAATTCAGCCTCAACCTTGGGATCAAGTTGAAATTTTACAAAAATTTAATAATAATGCACATGGTGGGCTGCTACTAATGGGTGGCCTGTGTGGCTGGTGGGATTAGTTGGCAAGTGTGCAGCATTCAAAACTCAGAAGAAATGTGGCAGCCAACATTTTCCCTCAAGGCTTTGCTGCTGGCTTCGTGTGGCAGCTCTGCTGCCAAGAAAGTACCTTTCTGGGTAGATCAATCCCGCCACCTACACAGGCTACAATACCTACCAGGTACATGTCAGTATCACTGCATGTACTTTGTAAAGTGAGCTCCAATCATTACATGACAAAGTCAAACTCAAGTTGTCCTACAGGAGAGTAAATATTTTCACAGTAAATGAATGGGTCTCTCAAAGGTTTCATCCAGGGAACATGAAGTTAAGGGTTACAAATATGTAAGGATTTTCTTGTTTTAATTTCAGTACATACCAAATGAAGTTTCCATAAAGCCCTTAGCCAAGGAAGATGATAAAGGTAATCCATGTTTTGTTATAGATAAACTTGTGAAGGCTTTTTGTTGTGTTTATGCTGGATACAGGTTTACAAGGTTTTTTTAAGTTGCTGTAACCACTTATTTTGCTGCAAATTTGTGTTCAAAACAGTGTCTCAATTCTTTTTTGTGTTTCAGTGGCTTCACATGATCAGCAACAAAAGCCACAAACAAGAGATAGGAAGAAGAAAAAGATGTCAGATGAAGAGATTCATAGCAGATTACGTACGTCAATTATCTGTTCTCTGTCAGTTTCGTTTAGAGACTGAAAGTAACAGATGTCCGTACAACAGCTGATATTTAATGTGTGTATTTTTATTTCAGGTACCATAGTTAGTGTTGGAGATCCCAAAAGGAAATACACAAAATTCGAAAAGATTGGTCAGGGGTAAGAATTAATTATTGAACGAACTCATTTTCTTTTAGCAAGGTTTGCACATGTCTTGAAAACCCTTGAAAACCGTTGAAAACCCTTGTATTATAGAGTCCTTTTTCAGTTGAATATGATTTGTTGCAACAAATGCATTACATTAGTCATCCATAGACCAGAAAAAATTAAAGTTAATTTGTTATTTGCACTTTGCAGGGCATCTGGTACAGTTTATACAGCTATTGAAATAGCAACTGGACATGAGGTAATAATAAAGACTTTAAATTAGTGCATTTCTATTTCAAGTTCATTTGCTTTGTTACAGTTAATTATTTTTAGTAGCATTACAGCTCTTTTGGATAACACATGACCTGCATTGTGGAAAACGTTTCAGGATTTTGGGTTTATCTTTGACGTCAATCAAACTGTTACCACAACATCCAATTCTTGCTTGTCAAATGAGGGTGGCAATAATGAGCAGAAGTTGCAAAATTAAATGTTGGCGGGAACGTACCGATTTGTTTTCACCCTTCCATATCTGTGTTTCTTCTGGATTTGAAAGCTCTATAGGAACAATTTCACTTTGGGTATCTTAACTTGCCATGTTTCAGTAAGAAGGTACGGAAACTTTAGAGCTTAAACATGAAAAGTTTACATCACACAACAGAACATCAAAGCACAAATCCTCCCAATTGACGAGGCACAGAGCAGGAAAACTTACTGCTCTCTTCAAAACCACGCAAACTCTGATGTTCAAAAGCACTGAACACTCAAAACGGATGGGAATCCACCAATCACAAATCACAAACCATGACCTTTCAAACCTGTTTAAGTAAACTTTTGTTTCCGAAGAGGTTTGCTAGAAAGCGTTGAGCCTTCAGATTTTGTTTGACGTCGCAGAAACACCCAAAATGCAAAGACATTTTTGACGTCATAGGTCATGTGTAACAATGGGAAAGACTATTTATACCAGGCCCCAGTTGTTCAAACGTTGGATAGCGCTATCCAGCTGATAAATCACTATCCAGCGGATAGGTATTAGCGAAACCAATTGCATTATCCACTGGATAGATTTTTATAGCGATTTTTATTTTTTTATAGCGCTTTCCAACGTTTGAACAACCGGGGCCAGAAGTTTATCTGTACTGTAGGTTGAAAGCATTATCTAGTCAACTCTCTGTGAAAAAAACTTTTTGATGGACACCCAGAGTCCTTCCCTACCATTCCTCAGATTTTTTTGACTCTCTATAAGGTATACATGCAGGCATCTCTAAGATATGGATGCTTTGTTTAAGCCCCAGTAGTATTCAGAGAGAGTTGATTACTAACAATGCTGAATACTTGTACCAATGCTGAATACAGTCATGTACCAATGCATTTCTGTTGCTTTTCTTTCATAACAATAAATATTGTGTATTTTTGCATGTCACATGTAAAGCACAATATTTAAGAAAAGCCAAAAACACACATCTATGAGCAGAAAATATAAACAAGTAACACCTAGCTAGATAATGTTGCAACTTTTTGGTAACCTCATGATGCCATTATCAAGGAATTGGAAATAAATAAATGCAATTTTAAAAAAAGCACTCTAAATTTCTAATGAGTTTACAATGTATGAAATTGCCATATTTTGTGTGTTTTACTTTACTACAAGGTATTTTCTGCAGTAACTGCTTCACTGGTCCTTTTGTGTTTGTGGGCAATACTTCTTAATTCAGCCTCAACCTTGGGATCAAGTTGAAATTTTACAAAAATTTAATAATAATGCACATGGTGGGCTGTTACTAATGGGTAGCCTGTGTAGCTGGTGGGATTAGTTGGCAAGTGGGCAGCATTCAAAACTCAGAAGAAATTTGGCAGCCAACATTTTCCCTCAAGGCTTTGCTGCTGGCTTCGTGTGGCAGCTCTGCTGCCAAGAAAGTACCTTTCTGGGTAGATCAATCCTGCCACCTACACAGGCTACAATACCTACCAGGTACGTGACACTCAAAGGTTTCATTCAGGGAACATGAAGTTAAGGGTTACAAATATGTAAGGATTTTCTTGTTTTCATTTCAGTACATACCAAATGAAGTTTCCATAAAACCCTCAGCCAAGGAAGATGATAAAGGTAATCCATGTTTTGTTATAGATAAACTTGTGAAGGTTATATTATTTGGTGTGTCTATGCTGGATACAGGTTTACAAGGTTTTTTTAAGTTGCTGTAACCACTTATTTTGCTGAAAATTTGTGTTCAAAACAGTATCTCAATTCTTTTTCGTCTTTCAGTGACTTCACATGATCAGCAACAAAAGCCACAAACAAGAGATAGGAAGAAGAAAAAGATGTCAGATGAAGAGATTCATAGCAGATTACGTACGTCAATTATCTGTTCTCTGTCAGTTTCCTTTAGAAACTGAAAGTGACAGATGTCCTTACAACAGTTGATATTGAATGTGTGTATTTTTATTTCAGGTACCATAGTTAGTGTTGGAGATCCTAAGAGGAAATACACAAAATTCGAAAAGATTGGTCAGGGGTAAGAATTAATTGTTGAGCAAACTCACTTATTTCTTTTACCAAGGTTCAGGGTCGGCCAGGTTTTTGGGTATACGATATACAGGGGCTTTTTAAATCGGGTATAAGGTATATTGCAGCTTAAATACGGGTATTCGGTATATCACTTTCTTTGAATTTCAGGTATAAAGTATACCTGGGTATAATTTTGGGTATTTTGGCGAATGTTTTTTGGGGTATACTGGTATACCACTACCCCCCTGGCTGACCCTGAAGGTTTGCACGCGTCTTGAAAACCATCGAAAACCTTTGAATTTTATAGTCCTTTTTCAGTTGAATATGATTTGTTGCAACAAATGCATTACATTAGTCATCCATAAACCAGAAAAAATTAAAGTTAATTTGTTATTTGCACTTTGCAGGGCATCTGGTACAGTTTATACAGCTATTGAAATAGCAACTGGACATGAGGTAATAATAAAGACTTTAAATTAGTGCATTTCTATTTCAAGTTCATTTGCTTTGTTACAGTTAATTATTTTTAGTAGCATTACAGCTGTTTCGGATAACACAAGACCTGCATTGTCAAAAACGTTTCAGGATTTTGGCTTTTTCTTTGAGGTCAATCAAACCGTTAGCACAGCATCCAATTCTTGCTTGTAAAATGAGGGTGGCAATAATGAGCAGAAGTTGCAAAATTAAATGTTGGCGGGAACGTACCGATTTGCTTTCACCCTTCCATATCTGTGTTTCTTCTGGATTTGAAAGCTCTATAGGAACAATTCACCTTGGGTATCTTAACTTGCCATGCTTCAGTAAGAAGGTACGGAAACTTTAGAGCTTAAACATGAAAAGTTTACATCACACAACAGAACATCAAAGCACAAATCCTTCCGATTGACGAGGCACAGAGCAGGAAAACTTACTGCTCTCTTCAAAACCACGCAAACTCTGATGTTCAAAAGCACTGAACACTCAAAACGGATGGGAATCCACCAATCACAAATCACAAACCATGACCTTTCAAACCTGTTTAAGTAAACTTTTGTTTCCGAAGAGGTTCGCTAGAAAGCGTTGAGCCTTCAGATTTTGTTTGACGTCGCAGAAACACCCAAAATGCAAAGACATTTTTGACGTCATAGGTCATGTGTAACAATGGGAAAGACTATTTATACCAGGCCCCAGTTGTTCAAACGTTGGATAGCGCTATCCAGCTGATAAATCACTATCCAGCGGATAGGTATTAGCGAAACCAATTGCATTATCCACTGGATAGATTTTTATAGCGATTTTTATTTTTTTATAGCGCTTTCCAACGTTTGAACAACCGGGGCCAGAAGTTTATCTGTACTGTAGGTTGAAAGCATTATCTAGTCAACTCTCTGTGAAAAAAACTTTTTGATGGACACCCAGAGTCCTTCCCTACCATTCCTCAGATTTTTTTGACTCTCTATAAGGTATACATGCAGACATCTCTAAGATATGGATGCTTTGTTTAAGCCCCAGTACTTAGTATTCAGAGAGAGTTGATTACTAACAATGCTGAATACTTGTACCAATGCTGAATACAGTCATGTACCAATGCATTTCTGTTGCTTTTCTTTCATAACAGTAAATATTGTGTATTTTTGCATGTCACATGTAAAGCACAATATTTAAGAAAAGCCAAAAACACACATCTATGAGCAGAAAATATAAAGAAGTAACACCTAGCTAGATAATGTTGCAACTTTTTGGTAACCTCATGATGCCATTATCAAGGAATTGGAAATAAATAAATGCAATTTTAAAAAAAGCACTCTAAATTTCTAATGAGTTTACAATGTATGAAATTGCCATATTTTGTGTGTTTTACTTTACTGTCCAGGTGGCAATCAAACAGATGAACTTGTCACAGCAGCCAAAGAAGGTAGTGTGCAGATTTGAACTGATTTATACTCTAGACATTCATGGATGGTATAAGACATGACTGGTGGTGCAAAATAAATTCCTGAACTAAGATCTACAGTTGTATCAATAAATTTTTTAGCGCAATGGGTTCATCCTGATACCTCAGTAGCTTTGTTGTAATTTTTAAATTTTATTTCATGTAGTTATTAATTTGTTTATTTGCTCACACACTGACTCAATAGGTAGACTTAATAACTAGGTATGAATGACTTTGTACAGCATCAAACATTTGAAATAATAACAATAATAATCCATGGATTTAAAAGTAACACCCATCACTGCATAACAGTATACTTTTAACATCAACTAGCAAACATCAACACCTGCTGCTCTGTTTACTGTAGGAATTAATTATCAATGAAATTTTGGTGATGAGGGAGAATAAACATCCAAATATTGTCAACTATGTGGATAGTTACCTTGTGGGAGAAGAGCTTTGGGTAAGTCAACACTTATTGAAGTTATAAATATATAAAACTAATCATAAATGGGAGCTGCGGGGTGAAGATTTATATGAAAGAAGATCATAATAATAATAATAATAATAATAATAATAATAATAATAATAATAATGCCTTTATTTAATGAGGGTAACACTAAATAGCCCAAGGCTAATAAACTTGTGGCCCTCAAAACACAATCTTACAAATATTTAATATCTATACTAATAAAAACACTAAAAAAACTATTTACAATGTCTAGGTATAAAAGATTATAGAATAGAAAGACACTACTATGTAGATGCAACTTTTGCAGTTGTGAAAAGAAAGCAATTCAGGCTTGTACAGGATTCAAACCCTTGACCTCTTGTGATACCAGTGTAGCATTCTACCGATTGAGCTAACAAACCAACTGGGAGAAGGGTTCGAATCCTGTACAAGCCTGAATGTTTTTTCAGGCTCTCTTTTTGCAACTGCAAAAGTTGCGTCTATAACTGCGTTGATCTTCTTCCATATGATTGAACACTTATTACCTCATCATGTTACTGCGGAATTTACATATAAAGTTACAGTTGCATTCTTCTAGGTGTTACTTTTATTGTTCTTCCTCAAAATGTTTGGTTTATTCTCCTCACCAGGTTGTTATGGAGTATTTAGCTGGGGGCTCATTAACTGATGTTGTCACGGAGACATGTATGGATGAAGGACAGATCGCATCCGTTTCTAGAGAGGTAATTGCACAAGACACAAGATTTTAAATAATGTGTTATTTTCTTAGTTGATGGTTACTCCTAGGATGCCGGCACGAGTGGGTGGAATGTGACCAACCAGGTCAGTTGAGTTTGAATTGGACTGTTGATGACAGTGACTGATGTTTCAATAATCTGCGTTGAAGTCAATGGATGTTTCTTCCTCCCCACCTAAACCCCCTCTCCCTCTCCCACTCTGTCTTTTTGGTTGTCCATCACCCTGTTGAGCTGTATCAATATCAGCATGACTAATTCATAACATTTTGCATTGTGATATAGTGCCTTCAAGCCTTAGAGTTTCTGCACAGCAATGGAGTAATTCACAGAGATATAAAGAGTGACAACATTCTGTTAGGAATGGATGGTCAAGTCAAACTTAGTAAGAATCTTTAAGCTCTATTTTGCTGCTTTTTCAAATTGCCTCCACACCAGTCTGTAAGTGTGCATACAGTACTGTACCGTTTTGTGGTTCAATTTTATCCTCAGGGTAAATTTTGCTTTCCTTTTTTCCCTGTTACCATACAAAGGAAAAAAAATTGCTTCAAGGGTACATGAGGATAGAGTGTGTGGTTGTAGTTATGCCCTAGTGTCAATACATGTAAGTCAGCTTTGCAGTTTTACTTTTTTAATAGTTAGAAGTACTGATGGAAGGATATTGTTTCATTTCTGTTGTTTAGCTGATTTTGGTTTCTGCGCACAAATAACACCAGAGCAGTCAAAACGTTCTACCATGGTAGGAACACCTTATTGGATGGCGCCTGAAGTGGTGACCAGGAAACAGTATGGTCCTAAAGTGAGTTTTTATTCATCAGTTTATATCCAACATTAATGTACTCAAACATTGATTTAAGCTAATAATTGCAGGTGATCAGAGTATCCACCAGCCCTAATACCCTAATCTATAGGTTGGTATGGCAGCATTCCCAGCACTTTTATGTGGCCATCATTGGTTTGAATTAAGGAATGCATAGAACACAATCTGATCATGCACATTATTTTGTACTCTCTATATCTCAAAACTTATCGTGTGCGTTTTGATCTTCTACCTTGTTGTGTAGCTTATGCAAAGCACAGCATTCTAGAAAAAGCATTTTGACTTTTGATCTATCACCCACACTCCCTAATTTTTGGTTATTACTAGTATTGTCAAAGGGTAGATAAAAAATCTGTGGTAGATCTTGCCACCCTCTGTAGACATGGCACTCCAATACATGCCCGCTGATCTCTGTGGTGTTTCTCTGCTGTAGGTGGACATATGGAGCTTAGGAATTATGGCAATTGAGATGGTAGAAGGTGAACCACCTTATCTGAATGAGAATCCTCTTAGAGTAAGTACAGTATCAGTCATCTGAATGATTTGAATCATTGTTGATGAGACAAGTACTGTTTGTATTGGTTGTATGATTATTGTATGGATGCAGCATTTTATTTCCATGTCGTTGACGTTCATAATAGTGAGCATGTCTGTGCCCAAACTGTCTTGTTTGGAACTTTGAATCCTTTCAAAGCTCTCTTAAGGTAACCATAATGCAGGAGCTTACCACAGCCAGAAGTCTTGTTACAAAGTGACATTGTTGTTATTGTTTTGTTGCTCTGCAGGCTTTGTACTTGATAGCTACAAATGGCACACCAGAACTCGCTCACCCAGAAAAACTATCTCCAGTATTTAAGGATTTCTTGTCACAGTCTTTGGAAATGGATGTAGATAAACGGTTAGGCGCCAGGGAACTGCTTCAGGTAAGCACACCTAACTATTCCTTTGGCTTACCCCTTAGTAAGAACCGATCTTATGTAGTTAAATTTATGTGTATTATGGTGTAACAATTATTGCTGCAAAATTCTGGATTTTTTTCAGCTTAATTAATTTCAGAAGATTTGATGCACAGATCCGAGAAGTGTCTTATATTTTGCTCATTTTGTCCAAGTTATCCCTATTTTTTGCTCAAAACCAGAAGATCAACAAAATTATCAAACTATAATTATTATTTTAATTCTTGTTGTTTATTATTTCTTACAGCATCCATTTTTAAAGCAGGCCAAACCACTTGCAAGTCTGGTGCCACTCATTCTCGCTGCTAAGGAAGCCAGCTCCAGAAATTCGTAGTCAACTTTAAATTCCTTTTAATGCTTGCTATTCGGTTCAATCAGAAGCAAACAGAAATTCATTAGAGTTTATTTTTACACAAAATGTTATTTTTATTGGTTAATTTCATGGACAGAAGCTTTTAGAAGTTTTTGTTTGTTGCTTTACGAGCATGTACAGTGATGAAATAATGCTTTTTAGTTGTCTTTGTTTTTATAATCTATTCTGTAAATTTTATTCAGCAACATTTTACCCTATTGTGAGCAAAAGGATTTCGTGAAGAGCGTTAATAAGTAGTTGTCTTCATGAAATTCTGCCTTGTCTATAAGGAAATCCTCCAAGATAATTCATTGATATTATCAGATAATTTAAATCTTTAAAGAACAGGGTGTGGTAATAACCAGATACCTACCTACTCGTGGTAGTAAATCGTAATACAGGTGTGTGAGTAATATACACCTGTTCTATATCAATAAAACCAGTGGTGTTAAAAAAGGAAACTGTCATTATAATGGGCGGGGTGCTAAATATGGGCTAGCCTGCGTAGCAGTGCTTGTAAGTGATATAGGCGCAAGAAAGAACAGGGTGCGCGAGGGGTACTTACTAGCGCCTGCTACGCAGGCTAAATGTGGGCGGGGGTGGCGAGCGATGTGCTATTTCTTTTGTCATCCGCTTCGTTGAGGGAAGTATAATGAAGAAAAAAGACCAGTGTGGCGCTTACCATAATTGCTGTTCTTTGCGCTCTCCGATATGGCGTTTCGTGTTGAGTTAATAGGGACCTTAAGATCCGACGACGGCGGATGTCTACGACGGCGAGCGGAAGTTGGAAATATTTGCCTGCGCATTTCCGGTAGCCGTCGCGTGAGGTTTCCCGCCTTAGCTGTGTTGTCTGAGACGTCAAAATGAAGTGTTTGCCGTCTTGTCTAAAACGTGAGTAAATTTCTCTTATTTTAAGGCCATTTCAAAGGAATTTATCGAACATTTTCAATTTGTAATGAAGTGACAATTTTTTCCTAGCTTGTGACAATTGAAAATAGGTAGTAGAACTCGTTTAAAAGCGAAAATTGACTGGTTTCTTTCTCCTCCTAAACAGCTTCGAAAGTTCGTGTCTGCAAATAAGCCTCAGTGGAAATGATCTCAAAGAAAACAGTGCAGTAAGTAGTTGTCAACTCATTTTTCCTTCTTAATGAAAGCTAAACCATAAATTTAATTGAATAATTTACCCAAGTCTGTTTGAGCAAAAGTTTGTTGAAGGTANGCTAGCCTGCGTAGCAGTGCTTGTAAGTGTTATAGGCGCAAGAAAGAACAGGGTGCGCGAGGGGTACTTACTAGCGCCTGCTACGCAGGCTAAATGTGGGCGGGGGTGGCGAGCGATGTGCTATTTCTTTTGTCATCCGCTTCGTTGAGGGAAGTATAATGAAGAAAAAAGACCAGTGTGGCGCTTGCCATAATTGCTGTTCTTTGCGCTCTCCGATATGGCGTTTCGTGTTGAGTTAATTTAGTAGGCGTGAAGCCAAAAGTTGGAGGAAAGGCCTGTGTTCGTTTTACCTAATGGAGAAGGTGTTTGAAACATGTGCGTGGCGTTTTCCTCACGCTAAAAAATTCACCATTTTGAACATGTGGGAAACGTCATGAGCTATCCCGAGCGCTCCATCAGCAGACTGAGTCATGTCAAGAGTACTTGGGCTTTTTTTTGTAATAAGATGACAGAAGTGGGAGGTGATAGTTGGTGCTCTTTTCTCCACTGTAGGAGCGTGCGGGAAATAGCAAAGTGAAGAATTTGACTCGCGTTTTTTTTTTAACTTGGTCCATATCAGGGGAATTTTTCTTAATGTGTGGCTTGCAAAGGAGAGACCTGGTAACCCTTAGATATTTTCTCCAACCTTGAGTAGGGATAAACCCACCCTACTTGTAATCCCGACAATCCTTCATGTTTTCTTGTCTTTATGTACCTGCCACGTTTACAACCTGAAAGTTCGACCTTGGACGCGAGTTACCCCCATCAATACTAGTTGGGAACCATCCAAGCTGATATGATTAATTTAGTGTTATCCACGTTTCATTCTTGCCTAGTCCCTGTGTGGCGTCTGCCCAGGCCTTCTCGGGCAATGTATTTCGGTGACGTATCCGAGATAAACGGCCGGGCCTAGGGACTAGGCAAGGTTCATTCTATATTCTCCACTGTTTGTTTTTGGTAATGGCCAGGGTTTAATAAAATGAGCTAAAACCCTGGTTGCCCTGTGCCTCTGTTTCAAAGTTAGGCTAAGTGCGAAAATGGTTTTTAAATCTCATTTTTACAAGAAAGATTTTGCACTTAGCCTCGTTTTGAATGTGAGGGTTGAGTTCAAGAAACTGGGAATTGGCTTAACTTAAGGAGTGGAATGCGAAAATGACCTTTTTTTCAATTTTCAAATATAATCTTATTGTTGACGTATTATCGGTGTCATTCTACAAACTGATAGCAAGAACAAGCAAAAAACAACGAAAAATTAACGTTTGAAAAAAGGGCCAGTCCCTTTATTACGCAAAACTTCAATAACACTAGTGAATAGTTTTCATGCAGCAAAAATTTGAATGGGATTTGAATTTTTTGAATTTCAATTTTACCGTAAATGATCGATTAAGCGCCGAGGCGCTTATTTCATTTTCCCCGTTAGACGAGAGCGATGCTTAATTCAACTACGGTTAAAACACTGAGGGGAAGTTCCCGTAGAGAGAATAGAGTGAGGCGCGTACTTGGCATGCCCGCACAATTTCGAATAAAATATACCCAGCGAGAGAGAGCCATCATAGCCGGGAGTACCACCCCTAGGACTTGTATTCCTTAAGCCTGATGCTGTTCTGACCGATGAACAACAAGGTTACTTTCAAAATAAATTGTGGCGTTGTGGATGGGGGACTGTTTGGAAGAGTTAATTTAGGAAGTCCGTCTTTGGATTTTAACATCTGGATTTCAGTTTCAGACTGGGCCTAACATTCAAAACTCGGACTAAGTGTTTGGATTTCTAAACTGAAATCCATATCGCAGTGAGAATTCTTTTTGGCAAAATGCTTTTTTATTTACTAAATGAAATTTGTTAATCCTAACATTCTCATAAACAACTACGGTAGATTCTTTTCAATGGGCTTAATGCGCCCTTCCATTGTTTTGAACTGGTTATTATTTTCAATAATTGGAAGGGCAGGTCACGGACGTGGAACAGGAGATCATTATTACGAATAATAACCTTCTGTTTCACTTCAGTGGCCACAATAATGACCTCCTGGTTCTAAAACAATGGAAAGGCTCATTAAATCGGATAACTCCCTCGCTCCTCGGCCTCAGGGCTCAGGCATTATCCTATATATAGGGTATTCACAATTGATCCTTAAATAATACTTGTAAGAAAGGAAGCTTTGCGACATAATTTTAAAAGGAAGAAGACAACAAAAACTATGCATAAACGAAATTTATTCACACGCAGGGGCCAGTTTTCTCAAAAACTTGGTCAATAACTTTAAGTAATAATATAGAACTATTATATAACAAAATTAATCGGCAAAAATCTGAATTCGGTGGTTTCTATGGTCAGACACAACTATTTTACCATCAGTAAGAACTGCAGTGGAGGCTGGTCCATTAAAATCCCCAACAGTGCTGCCGCGTTTTCCAAACTCAGACAAGAACATTCCACTTAGTTTGAATATCTGAACCCGGTCATTTCCACAGTCACATACAACCAAGTTTCCATTTTTGTCAATTGACAGGTGACGGGGTTCATATAATTCCCCATTCTCGTCCCCTTCCTCTCCAAATTTATAAAGAAAATTACCTTCTGCATTAAACACTTTAATACTGTGATCACCGTAGTCTGATACTATTAGATATTGATCCTTCTGAATACAGTGGCATGGATCAACTAACAAATCTTTTCCAAACTTTTTTAGGAACTGGCCACTTTGACTGAAGATCTTGATTACGTGGTTATATGAGTCAGCAACAATAATGTTACCTTCACTGTCTGCACTTACTCCCCATGGAAAATCAAATTGCTGATCAAGATCAGTTCCCTCACCAGTAATCTGGGAAAGGTACTCCCCCCGTCCAGTGAATATTTGCAGTCGGTTGTTACTACTGTCTGCCACTACGATGTTTCCATTATTTAAATAAGTTATACCAGTGGGAGAGTCAAACTCTCCCTCTTTTACACCCTTATTTCCAAAACATTTTAAGTAAGTTCCATCATTACTAAACAACTGAATCCTATTATTACTATCAGTTACTGCAATTTGGTTTTGTTCATTCACTGCCACAGGGATCATCAAACATTCCGGGAGACGAACCTTTCTGTCCAAACGACAAAACCGGTTGATATCTTCTGCTCGTGTTCCTCTTCTGAAGCGCCTTCTCTTTCACATCTTCAATGTCATGATCTTGAAAATCCTTAGTCGCCAGCACACGGTGGTCTTTATTCGCTCGGATAATGTTATGAGCAGCAATGCAATCGTCGCACCAGAAGGAGCAGCATTGAAAGCAATAGAAACTTTGGTGGCTGTTATTTTCGCAGTTTCCACACTCTCCAGCGGCTTTACATTCTGGAATGGCCCTGATGACTTCCACCAAACTGTTCATTTGAAAGTTGGCAGGCAACTCCTTAGGATAACCGCTCCCAGGAACTTGAAACTTCCTGCGACATTCTGGGCATGTAATCTCGCCATGAATGCCGCTACTCGCTTGCTGAAGCTCATTTAAGCAATGGCGGCAAAATGTATGAAAGCACGGCAATATTTTTGGATCAGTAAACGGGCTCATACACAAGGAACAGGATAATTCTTTGCGTAGCTTGTGAAGTAAGGTTCGTAAATCCATTCCTGAGTTCGCAAAGAGACGGAGGCGAAGGTTTGACTGAAAACGCCTCAAATCAGGGGCCCTTTGCAAAGAAAACGGTTACATATAGAGCACAAAAAAACACCTTGCTGAATGGCAAACAACGCTGAGGGACCTTGAAAAGAAGGGACATTAGAGCTTTTTGAATAATGTA